AAATTTTTAATATTTAGTTGTCACAACATAACATTTTTCTTTAATTTATTTCTTTATAAAAAAATATATGAAAATTTTATTATAATCATTGCCAATTATTTATGTAAATATTACCTATCGGTTTTAAGATATGACGATTGCAAGTTTTGGTGACCTCCATTTATTCATGATTATTTTTTATAAATTCGTTCCACTTTTCCTCATACCTGTTTAGTTTTTTAATCGGTAATTATAATTGCCTTAATATGTCTGAATAAATATTTTAGAATACTTTTTAACAAACAGCCGGAATTTCCTGTCGTATCAACATATTAGAAATCTTAAATACTAGTGCATGCACAGTATTAATTATTTGGGTAGTTTGTATATAACTTATGATGTTATTCTAATTAACTAAAATATAACTAATAATATGATCTAATAATTCTTGCCCATGTTTTCGAATGTTCCCACGCTATCCTTTTCTTGAAACTAGGATTTTACCTTACATGAGGACCAACAAAACTGCTCGTTCTTTACTTTCGCATCGCTCAGATAAGAAAACTTTTGCTTCAGGTAAGCAAAAGTTTTCTTCTTCTATGTTTATCCTTTCACGCGGTTTTTCATCATATCGATCTAAATATGAAGACAAGGTTAGAGGATTTTACGTTCATCTACCAGGCAGGAAAAGCGATATTCTTCTGGCCTTGTTCGTTTGCCCTTCGATTAGACTATTTTTTTACCAAGTAGTGACTGGTTCTTGCTCGACTCTCCCATTTACATAAAAAGCAGCAGCAGAATTTAGTGTATACTCCTTGAAGCGTTACATTTGGCTGCTTAAAACTAGAGTAGCGATTTTGGATACGCAAAGCTGGGAAACTGGCATAGCTTCATGTATAGAAATGGAAGATGTTACTCCTACTCTGTCGCTTTTGCCTGTAAATACAACCGAGTCGTTCCATCTATTCTAAAGGATACATTAAAAAATATAGAATTATTCTTTACCTATCGCATGTAAAAAAATGTTGTGTATGGTTTTCTTTGCCCGACACAATATTTTGGTAAATATTAATTAAGAACGATCTGAGAACTCTGCTTAATTTCGTACGCAAATGTTAGGATTAGTTGTGCCATTGATAGACATTTCAAGATTTGGTATAGAGAAATAGGTTTGTAGTAATACCATCGGTTTTCCATTAACAATTTGTAGTAGTTATTGCTTATTTAATTCGTTAAAAGTAATTATCCAGATTGCTGTACTAATCTTCGGACAGCACTTCTTAATATTTATTCTGTTTTTTATGACTCGAATGGAGCTTACATGTTAAAAAGATAGAAGTGCATCAGCAATACGTTTGCAACGAACCAAACCACATTTACTGGAGCACCGTGCTTTTATAACTGATTTTGCTTATTGAAATCTCAATTTCAGGAGGTTAAGCACGTCTCAGTTATCATTAATGTTTTCTTTCACCTTACTAGAAATAAAATGTCCTTCTTTTAAAAGCTCTTCTCGTTCAATCAAGCATCGTTTTCTGCCTAATTCTTTTAATTTAAAGTATTCTAACGCATCATTTAACGGTAACGCCATAATAACATACACGTATATCGAATGATAGATTTACGGGTGGAAAAATAAACGCATACAGCCAACACAAACGTTAATAAACATCTATCATCTTTTCGCTGCAACTCCGAGCTCTCTCTCTGTAAGAAGTGGCGCTTCCCAATATTATTGATTATTATAAAATGACAAACGTTGAATTTGATGGTACAGATGAGTTTTATAAATCAATTGCAAATGTTCTTATAATGTCCGAATCTCACTCGTGATATGACACACGACGCCTCTCTCCGCCAACTCGATCTTTAACCATCATTTAATGGCCCTAACACAAATGCCACAAAATCAACGTTCCACTGTATGAACGTGTTGGCGTCTATTCGCTTTAAAAGCTCAAAATGGAGTAAAGATTAAGAAACGAAATTTGGCAACGTACTTTGTCCATAAGGAGCATTGATACTAGTAAATTCTGCTTGTGAACGGTCGAGAGAATGGAGAGATACGGGGTAGTCATGTGCCATATCTCGCGAAGGATCGGAGTTAATGAAGATTTACTTGTCAGTATTTACATATTCTTTTTTTTTTATAAAACTCATCTCTATCCTGAAAATTAAATTTTTTTTCATTTTAGTATGTCGTAAAGTTTACTATAAAATCTATGTTTATTCCTTTCCTTATTTATAAAATTTAAAATATACGCTCACCACCTGAAATTAGTAGTGTGTTGTCATGTACTGTATTGTACATCATACTTTTCCTTTAACAATCCCGGACATCTGAAATGCTTTCAAGGGGAAAGATTTGAATCAAAATAATGCGACTTTGGGTTTGCATTGAAAGTTCTTATATAGTCGATCGGGGCCTCCAGCCCCTAAAGATTCCGAATATGGTTTCATCTTTCATCCATCTAATTAGATTCTCGAGATTAAAAAAAAAAAAAAAACAGGCAGACGGACAACGGACGAGAGTGGGAATTTATGAGTCTTCACAGTAAAGCAATTATCTCCTTCATTATTGTCAGAGACGTGTGCTTAAATTGCAAACAGCGATTAGTCCCATGTTAAGTGGCCGAATAACGTTATAAAAATCAAATAAAAATTCACTAATTTTTCTTACTGTTTTTTAGAAAAAGAATGAAGAAGACTTTAGACTCTTATTTATCTTCTTGGTTTTCTCGAATCGGCAAGTTTGTCGGTGAATATCCTCAACATTGCATCGCTGCCACCTTGTTAGTTACAGTGATTTTAGGATCCGGACTTCTCAAAATTTCCATGATACAGGATTTCGAATATCTGTACAGTCCGAGAAACGCGAGAGTTTTGGAAGATAGAAAATCTATCGAAAATCTGTTTTCTAACGGCGACAGGGCCGAAGATAGATTAATTAGAAGTTCAACATACGAAAATTTAATTTCGGTCATTGCCTCGGCGAAGAACAACGGTTCCATTATGAACACCTCTTCGATAGAAGATGTAATCCAGATGGATGTTATCATTCGCAACATCAGCATCTTTTGGAATAAGAAATTCTACAGTTACCGAGATGTTTGTATGAAGAATGGTCGTCACGAATGCCCGAAAAATTTTGTTTCTTCTTTGAAATACATGATGAAACATCCCGGAAACGTTTCCATGAGGTAAGACTATCTTTGTAAAGAATTATCTGTAATTACATCAAAATTTGCAATTTCGAATATGTTTAGCCATTTTATCGTTATGATTGAAGTGATCGAATAAGTTACTGCAACACATGCGAGATCTTCTACGGGAAGATCTTCGTACTGCCTCCTGCGGTACGTTTGTGGCAAATTGCCACCGATTTACGTCTTAGACATGTAAGATAAATCGAGAAAACTGTTGGCAGTCGTCTGTATTTTAGACGCGAACTACTGTACAATGGTTGCATCTACTTCGCCATTGGCGAGGAAAAAGTGAACAAAAATATCTAATTTTATTCATCTTTGTAATTCTGTGGGTGAATATAAAAAGTTCTGCTTTTTTGTTTGAGAGAGAATAGTGAGAATTATCTTATTTTTACTATCCTCTTAATGTTCGGAAAATTTGCACAAAGAGGAAATATCGTTAACCTAGTTAGTGACTGTCTGTCAGACGAATAATTTCAATACACATCCTTAGTTATGTTGGTACTACAGAATCGGACATGTACGTTTGTAGGAAGCGTTTTTCAAAGTGGGCAATAACGTCCCTTTGTGGGCGATGAGTAAATCTAGGAGGCGCTGGAGGCAAGGTATTGAACGGTGACCAAAGGCAAAATTGGGGTCACTGAAAGCCGTTCCCATTCCTCTGTTATACTGATAAGAGGAAACATTGCGTTTAATGGTTTCCAGATGTTGAGAACAATGTACGGTAAGGGCACAAAGTGTGAGATTCATAGAAAAGTTTTCCTAAGAATATTTCCAATCCTTTCTCACACAAGAGAAAATGGGTTAGGGGGTGTATCTTTATGGAACAAAGGGGGCGGTGGATCAAAAAGTTTGGTAATCACTGCTGTAGACTCTAAACTCTAAACGAGGAAAGGTCCTGAGTTTCTTTAGTGTTGATAAAATGACAATTTGTGAAAATTTATTATTCTCAGTAATTTTTTATCAATACTTATTTTTTGCAGAGTCTCAAATACCAGCGTTTGATTAACACTATAAAGGCCTTCTCGAAATCAACAAACATACAAATATCTCTCTATTATGATCAATTATTCTTTCTCCTAACAGTCGTATCATTGTAACGGCCTCCATTTATGTAGTTTTCTATTCTTCGCTGTATGATACTAACTAAAACCTTTGAGGCATGGCTTATCAAGCCACTAGTTCTGCGTTTATCACAATATAAGGTACCCGCAGTTATAAAAACAGGATGAAGATAAATTTTGTGAAATCATCCGAAATATCTGCCTCTAAAACCTTGTTTAAAAGTTAGTTAGGATTCTTGTTCCATCTTTCCCATAACCTTAAGGAGTTCTGCTTGTATTTTATATATTTCTGGTGTCTTTTTGTCCCTCAGTTTTTTCAATGCAGCATAAATCTCATCCTTAAGAAATGTTGTACTCTCTTCTTTCGCCTCCATTCTTTCTAGGTTTAAACTCTCCTCATTTCCGTAGAGATCATTCCTCATTGTAGCATTTGTTCATCTTTCTGCAATTAAATATTTCCATTCCCAATTCTGAGTCCCAGCCAGAGAATTTCAGAGTTCCAATTCTGCATTTCATTTTTTCCCTGAGATTAAGTTTAGCTTTTCGTATACTCTTCTTAAGTCGTTCCCATTTGCGTAGTGCTCCATTTCCAGACATGATTAATTCAACTTCTTTCCTTTGCCTGTATGCACATTATTCTTATTTGTTTACTAATGATTCCATACTTTATTTTCTTCTGTGTAATTAGAGTTTTTGTATCTTATTCTTTCATCCATCGTTTTTTACTATCTCGTCTGTGACGATTTAGATTATCAGAAAGTAAACTTACGTCCGAATCAGTTCAATCATTTAGCTATATTAATTTAATTTAAAATCCCAGAATAATGTCATCTGACAAGTGAGTACAATTTCTTTTTATTATTTGCTTCTTTACGTGTTTAGATATCCAGTAGAACGAACAGGTTTTGATGTAAAAATAAATGCTATGAACTTAGGTGGAGTATCAACTAATGACACTGGATACATCACGGACTTCAAGGCCGTTCGTCTCTTCTATTTTATGGATTTCGAAACAAACGAGAAAAAGCGAGTAGCTTTAGAATGGGAAGAGGAATTTTTGAATATAATGGGTCGAGTGGAATTTCGACACATCGACGTTTCCTTCTTTACTCTTCGCAGTGTCAATGCCGAAGTTAACAGAAACACAGAACTGAGCATTCCGCTCTCATTTATAATCACTCCTGTAGTAATTTCCTTCTCGGTGGCAAGTTGTATGACGTTCGACATCGTCAGAAGTAAACCGTGGATTGGACTAGCAGGGTGTTTTAGTCCTTGTTTAGCAGTTATAGCATCGTTTGGTTTGCTGTTACACTGCGGAATGGAATATTCTGACGTCAATATAATAATGCTATTTCTTTTGACAGGTACGTTTTCTAGTTATTTTTTATACAGTAATCAGTAAACACATCTGTATTATTTTGCAAAGAGTAATTACGAAAAGAATTTTCTAAATGTAAGTACATAAAATTTTCAAATATTTGCTATCATGAAAAATTTAAGGGATAAGTTTCTAAATATTTTTTTATTGTTTTATGACTTATAATTGTCGACTCAAAATTCTATTACATTGATGCAAAAGTTTCTGGAATTTTTTAGACTTCTGTAGAATATTCGATCATTTAATTAAAATTAAATTAATATAATTAAAATCGCTATTCGACAGATAAAATTTTCAACTTTTGTGGGGTATGTAAAACAAAGACTATTGAGATTTACTGTACAATCTCAAGTGAAAACATCTTCTGTGGCGATATCGAAGATACATGAAGTTTACCAACGATTTCTGACGACCAAACTCATAGATGTGCGATTTACTATTTGGTATGGAATTTCGTATAGAATCAACTAAAGCCTGTTACTCACATGCGGCAACGGATTACGGAAACCGTCGACGGAAATAGTTGCCGTTCCGTCGTCTTTCCGTGTCCCGTGTACTCACATGCGGAAATTACCCTACAATTGAAACGCGCCGTCTGCCAGCCGTAAATATAAACCAGCTACTACAGTAACTAGGCCACGTGCCAGTAGTCGAAAATGGCGTCTACCTGGATCGCTTTGTTATATTAATTAAACTTTTTAAGTTTGCCTTCGATCTTATCGCAAATAAAAAACTTCAAAAAAGAATAATTTGGATAGGAAAAATATTCTAGATCGTCGAAAGTTAGGAATATCGAATACTTCGTCGCCGAATTACGATTACTCTATTCCCAATACTTTAAGCAGTAAGTAAGTCTATTTGACATTATTATCTAAATCGGATAGTAATATAGAGTATAAATGAAATATATTGGCGTATCAGTGTACGAGTAAAGCTTTTTAGCTGGCCGACCGTCATAGTTCGAACGCTATCGTCCCACGCAGGGATGCCACTCGTGATATATGAAAAAACTTGGGACTGGATGAAAAACCACCCAGATTATTTACCCAGAAAAATTAGTGATTTAAAATATAATTACAGTAGACCTCCCTATAACACGGTAGATACGTTCCGTTTTATATGAATTCCGTGTTTTACGAGTCACTTAAATACATGAGCCAATCACAGCCCAGCACGTGTGCAGTTTAGGGAATAAAGCCGTTTGGAAGGTTTTCTTCCATAAAATTAATCGATTCTAGACTAATTCGACTCAACATTTCCAAAATAAGTATAATTTTTTGGAAAAAATCCATATAAACTATGCTATAAACAAAAATATTGTAGGATTACTTACCGAGTGTGCACCGTTCGACGTCGCCATTGCTTGTTTTCGTCGCCGAGCGGCGCATCGAACGGCGGGTGCGTGTTTTCTAATAAGTTATTTTTCGGCGAAAAATTCGCTGAACTTTGGAGACATCATTAATAGAAATAATTTTTATGGCCGTTAAATAATAAATGATTTTTAGTAGGACCAGTGCTCGTTTAAACTCAACGGTTTGTGCAATATCCGCTATTGGTCTAGATTCCACCAATCCTGTCGCGACACGAGTCGGCGATGACGTTTTACCGTATCATACGAGTTTCTTTTAGCGTGTTTATACGAATACAATTGCAATTTTTCACCATGTTATGCGAATTCGTATCATATGAACCCGTGTCACAGGGGGATCTACTGTATAAATACTTTATCGTAGTACATTCATGCCCGTATAATTACAGACACTATAATACAAATTTAAAAAACCATTTATTACCTAATTTACAGTGTAGTTAATGTTATTTCGCAGTTACTCTGTTTCTTCTTCTTCCATCAACAGTTCTGCACAATCTTTATGCTCTTCTTGTCGCTTCTTATACTTCTTTCAAATTCATTGTGTTGCATCTTTAATTAGTTTAGGTTCCGGTTCATACAGCGAACAGCTAAGATTTTTCCTACAGATTGCTTGTTTAGCAAGCAACCTGTTCTTTGACGATTCAACAGTTAAGTTAGTTTTTTGCAATTAATATTGTGAAACGGAAGCCGACATATCCGTCACCACCCGGCCACCCCCATTGTGGGCTTGGCCGAACCCATAATTGCCATAGATAATTTATATACAGTATTAGACTCAGTAAGTCCATTTCTTAAAATTTAGAACACTAACATCGTGTTGTAGGTAAGTTACACTAATTAAATACCGTATATAATTATTCACATTTAAGAATTAATAGAATAAATGCAACATGTTTAACTGCCATCATTTTAATTCTCCTAAAACTTTTATTCTAAAACTTACACTTCATATACAAACTTACAATGTACTGTATATTTTCAAAATATACAACATATATATAGGGGAGACCGGGGCAACTTCGGCATACGGGGCAAGTTTGTCAAGCGCTTTTTTTAAAAAACAAATTAAAAGGAGACTTTGGTTATAGGTTAGGCAGTTGAGTTTTATTGGTGGCTTGTTGAGTGTAGTGTTTTTATTGTTCTCCAACAAGCGTAGTTGAATTATCAAGCAAATTTTCATTTTCGTTCAATTCCATATAATATTTTTTTTCCATTTATATTGAATTGGCAGGTTTTGTTATAATTCCATGATAACGAAAGTTACTTTTCCTGTTAGAAGGATGTAACTTCAACTTATTCACGTGGCCAGATCGTGGCTTGGCATTCTGTTCTCAGGGTTGTACTTAATGTTTCGAAATCATGACTAGCGGGGTAAGATCGGCAACATAAAGCCACATTAGAAGCAAAGGATAAAAATCAAACAGATGATAAATGAAAACATGTTTGCATTTGTTATTCATGTATATATGTCTTTGAACTTGCATTTCGTTGTAATAATATTAAATGGGTGTTGGATTTGTATTTCTTTGTTTTAATAGTGAATTCCAACTTATACATTGTTAATAACATAATTTTATATACGTGCCTATCTTGCCCCATTACTGTTGCCCCTATACCAGGGGCAACTTTAATAAAAATAATTAAAATAATTACAACTTTACAAAAAGAGAGAAGTTGCCGATCTTGCCCCTATACCCGGGGCAACTTCGTCAATTTCTCTCTTCTTGTAAAGTTGTAATTATTTTAATTATTTTTATTTCCAAACTGATTTTAAGCAGTTCTACAGTAAGAAAACATTCCAATAGACAATATGCAAAACTTTTTTTCAGTTTACAGCAGTATTTATTACACAAAATTTAAGTAAAGCTTAACATGCCGATCTTGCCCCGGTCTCCCCTATATATATCATGCCCATATTTAGGAATAAAAAATATTACTACTTTATACATTTTCAAACCACAATGTTACAAACATTATTGCATAAAGCAATACATTTTATTTTTAAAATACATGTAATCCATCCAGATTTTTAATTAAGTAGCTGGAGTTAAAATGTTGCTGCTTGTCTCACCATAGCAAATCATTGCGGGGTATGGTTTCATAGCTTGAGTAGGTCGTTAAGTTTATCCGAGTGTTTTTAACTCCACGTGATTCAGGATTCAGCAAATAAAGTACCATTCTTTTCGTTTTTGTTTCTAGAATCTAAATTTTTTTTATTATTTAAGTCATTTTATTTTAAGTCATTTAAAAAAATAAAAAATAACGTCGAAACCAAGAGAAGGTCGAAAAACCCAGATCTCGGTTTTAAAACTAAGGAGTGGTAACCCTGGTCCCACGTGATCTTTATGACGACATTGCTAAACGGCCTTCCTATTGTTATAATTTTTGCTGTTCCGCTTTCAGCAACGGCAAAAGTGACATCATTTTGCCGTTCCGTCGTCCGTTGCCGCATGTGAGTACCAGGCTTTAGTCTAATCGCGCTATATTACAACTGTTTGACAGGAAAGTCGTTTCCACGTATCCATCTACGATTGGTTTAGTAATTTTAAGTTAAGCAATAAGACAAGATAAGAATCGAAGATGAGCATTCCTGAGAAAAACCTTCCGTCCAGCTGGAAGCCAAGCAACCCCATCACCTTGTGGGAAATAAGCCAAACGCCTGGTTGCGACTAGTCCATTGTACTTTGTCATTTATCTGACAATGGAATGGTCTGCAAAATGAACGTTAAGGTTCAACACAATTTCAATGCAAAACCACACGTCAAGGTTGATCACTGATGGTAGATTCTCCCTCTTCCCCGTATAGACGAGACATTGCACCATTCCACTGCTGTCTCTTTAGCTCCACGCAACTTCTTGGATGGAAAACGATTCGCTGATGACCAAGTGAAAATCACATTTGCAGAGTTCTTTCAGTAGAAATAGCCTGAGTTTTATTCAGCAAGAAACCGTACCTGCCCAATGCATGGAAGAAGGCAGTTGAATATAATGGCGTTTATTTTCTTGAGTAAACTATGTTTTATTCTTTGCTTTTTAAATTAGCGTTGTAGGCTACTATAAAATTTAAAATTCCAAAAACTTTTGCTTCGATCCAACACTACGAAAATCAACTTTGTTAAAGTGTCAAACAATTTTAAAACGTTTACTGGTATTAAAATTGTGGAAAAGCAAAATAAGTTCAATTAATTACAAATCATATTTACATCGCAAGTTAAGTTAACATTGCAACAAATTCTGTGGGATACACTGTTGTTCAATTACTTCACTGTGACAGCATCGTCAAGTATTACACATTTGTTTCTCTTATAATGTTATTTTCTCAAATTTCATTAAACCAGGACAGTTTGTTCGTGTTTTCTGAAATAAACTGCATCTCTACTCTGCGTGAAAATTTTAAAAATTATTCTAGTGTTTCGTGTTTATTTCTACTTAATCAATTTTTCGAAAAATTAACGCTCACTGATTTTTGTAGGTATTGGCCTAGACGATTCTTTTGTTTTGTTGTCTGCTTGGAGGCGAACGAACGCAAAAGACAACGTGATGCAGAGGATGAGCCATGCTTTTTCCGAAGCGGGAGTGTCCATCACCATCACATCCTTGACTAATCTTGCTTCGTTTTGTGTTGGAATCACTTCACCTTTTAGAGTCGTTCGTATCTTTTGCTGCTACAGCGCTCTGTCCATATTTTTCGATCTCATCTATCAGATCTTCTTTTTCGGAAGTCTCATGGCGCTTGATGGCTACAGAGAAGAACGTCGTCTTAGTTCCATTCTTTGTTACACAGTAAAAGAAAAGCATTTCGGTAAGTACATATTTTTGTGTGAATTTATTTTTTCGTGCACAGACAGCTCAGGCGGTTAAGGCTTCAGACTACCGCTCTACAGATTGGGGATCGCTTTATTATTACGTTACTAGATGTTTTTAGGAAACGACTTTCCGGTTCGTTCCGACATGACACGAAAACAAATATGGTAAACGCTTTTAGCATTCTGTTTATAGACGTTTATATCTCGCAGAATAGAAGGAGTACGTGCCCGTCCAACGTCATATCCGATGAAAATATCAAGAAAACTTTAAAATTCCTACATGTGCGGCCAACGGCCTGCCAACACCAGTATCCTGTGAAAACACACGTGCACTGTACATGAATTTTAACAATCTTGTATAGAATATATTGTTTCAAAATGATAAGAAACACTTGAAAATTTAAATCATAAGCGAATTTATTTATTACTAATAAGCAATATGTCCACCTTTTTATTAATTACTCCGTAAACTCTTTCTGGAATTTATTTAATAACTTTTTTCTCGCCTATGATTTCCTGCCAAGCATCAGTTATCGCCTGTTTTACTTATTCCACTGGAGTATATATAGAGCTTTTCATTCGAATATTCTTTCTTTGCTAATATGCCAAACGTATTTATATAAGATGAGAAGACATCAGACCAATTCGTAACACGCACACCATTTGTCAAAAACAGTTCCACTTTAATTTTGCACGATGAGCAGGCACATTATCTTGTCAGAATTGGAAAAATCTCCCTCCAATTTTTCCGGAAATGTTAGGTACATTTCTGTCACTTGCTGTTATCCTACAGCACTAGTCCGCCCCGAGATAAAAACTAGATTTTTCATACAAGCCAATCAAAATGTACACAACACAATATCACTTTCAGTATTTAATAATTAAGTATTAAATAATCTACAGCCGAAATTCTGGTGAAGTGGAAAATACAAACAGCAGGAAAAAACTAGAAGAAATAGAAAAGTTAAAGGCAGATAGGTGAAACAATGATATGTTATTTCGATTTTTCTGAATAAGATCATCTCTATTTCCTAAACAGAAACTACACCAGTATAATAAGTCCTATTAATA